AAACTTTCACACACAACGCACTTTCGTTTGTCTTTGCCTTGGACCCTCGTGGACTCTCGAATCGATCATCTGAAGGACAGTTACATTGGTTGCATTTCTCCTCAACGTCCCCCGCGAGAAAACGCAGGCTGGATGAATGGGTCGCGTGAAGACGGATGTCTAAGGTAAATACGCCTGGAATATATTGCCCCTGTCAGGGAATGAGCAGAATTCTAATAAGGCTTTAAGGTCAGGCAAAGCGTCTCTTGAAACTCAGTCTAAATTGGCAAAGGATTCATCTCTTTTTAACGCCCTGCCTGTCCTATCACATCTTCCACGCCACGTTTCCAGCGGAATTTAAATGTCAAACGAACACGTGTTTGCAAACTACATCCAAGGTAGTAATGGGAGAATGAAAATAAAATACTTTAACCTGATTAAAGCTAATTGCTTGTATTCATTAAAGAAACATTGCTCTTAAGTTGAAAAACTTAACTGTAAAGGATTTTTGAAGATAAAAAGGGTCTTGAATGGTATTTCCAGAGTCTCTGTTGTAAGGGTTATGATTTCCTGAGAGCGCTACAGCGCATTCTTAGAATTTGCGAGGTTTGCCTTCTACAGTGTACACTAAAACAGTTCCGATACAGGAATGAATCATATAATAACCACTTTGTGTGGTCCACATCATGTCAAAATCGAAGCCAAAGCCTAGATAAGGGTGAAATTATAAAGAAAATGTATAAATGTGAAGATCAGCTTTTCGTAGTAATTATTTCACTTTGTTTTTTCTTTTGGAAAAAACTGACTAGAAAAGATTCGTTATGTGATATTTAACTACTTTTCTTCGAAATTTTGATGAATCCACTTGTGTCAGAATTCACAACATATCAGCTTGGCCTTTATTTATTAGCTATAGAGTATGTAATACTTATATTTTAAAGAGAAAGCAAGCCGTTCAGTAGTCTAAATTTCCATTATAGCATCTAACCGTGGTTGGTTGAGATAAACTACATTTAGGCCTACATGTAGAACCAGTGAGTGTCCGCGTGCGTGGGCGAGGGGTTTCCTTTCAAGGTGGATTCAGGGAGTGGGAAGGCAGGTGCAACAACAAACACCATAGAACCTTTTTGGCAAATCGACAAGCACTGATAAAGTACGAGGTCATTCGGTGTCAATTTGCCAACGGCACAGTACTAATGCTACTCTCAGCATTTCTGCAATGTAAAAAGCACTTGAAAAAATAACGAGCAGATTTTCAGGCAGGAATCCCCTGTTTCAAAAATACAAGCAACAACCATTACAGAAGCATCACAGGCAGGTGATTATAAGCACAGTCAGCTTGATATACCTATACTACCTGGCGTAAAAATAGAAATATCAACATTGTCGAAATATTACGGACAGGTTTCTCTGTAGCTAACTACTCATCACCACTTATTTCTGGTACGAAAATAAATTATGGCAATAGAGGCAGAGGTGAATTCAACACTATCAAATGGCTGTTTATTCATTCAAATATTCAATATTTCTACCTTGGGGTTGGCGTGGGGATAGTACACCGGATGATTTCTAATAACAGTGACATAGACTGCACAGACTCGCTAAGACACGTTTATTCTTTTTTTTTTTTTTTCGTGCTTTATTTTTTTCTCGATAAAGAAGTTAGATACACAAAACTGAAAACATCTTGTTGTTAAGCTCTCAGGATTCGAACCACATTTGGATTATTTTTTTGCATTCTTCAGCATCCCTGTTACTGGTTATCTAGTTGTTGTTACCAGGCAACCAGGGTATATAACAGAGGTTGGTGTTTTCCAAGCTGTGTTATATATTTTCATATGTTATGCGGGTAGTGTTTCACTAGATCAAGGTAACTTATATTAAACGCACAACAAAAGGAATGAAATAAAATAATATATAGGAAGATAAATACTCGTATTTTTAAATGAACTACAGTAAGGCGCGGTTTACTTAGATCTACAAAGATTATAATGAATTGACTTCACTCTTTAAAAAGCAGAACGTCAGCCACCATAGTAATACGTTTTTAAGTGTTAAGTGCCATTCGAAAGAGACATTTCACCTATTATGCACCATTTATTTCTACTAAAAACAGTATACGGCTTCGAAATGACGTGGGCTCATTTCAGCGTGAAATAAACCTGGGCAGTGAGTCTCTTAAAACAGTTTTATATACATAAGCATACCGTGGAGGTCATTTCATATAGTTCAGGTCACCACTGGCATAATTCATGATAACGAGGATGCTGACTGTTATCATCATTATTAATTTAAGGTCAAAATGTGTATGTTTTTAGGTGTCTGCCACTTCAATATCTTTAAAAAATATTTATTTAATGGGAGTCCCATCTAGCTCTTTGCTAAGTCCTTGTCGTGAAATTAATCAAGGGAAGACACTCGACTTTGCTCGTCTTTTCAAGGGTCGAACGGGGAATCCGAGCCCCAACCTATAGAAAAGGGAAGGCGTATTAACGATAACATCAGATCTAACCACCCAGGTCTGAAAGAGCATAGTTCAAAGCAAAGTGTTGCCCGTAGACGTGTAACCGTAGTACTTAACCGACCAAATTAGGTATCTTTATCTATATCACCTTCACATATACGTGTCCGCAGGGCACAGGTAAGTATTTGATGGCCAATTGACCAGAGACCCACCCCAAAGGTGAAATGACATATACAATGGGAACGGGATTGTTCGAGAAAACGGTGTAATTAAGGGAAGAGGAGTTGGGGCGTTTTTTACAATCGATTCAAGTGGATCTGTTCCTACAATAACCTTTACTTTAATTTTTGGTTGAATCTAGCAAATGTTGCTGGCACCTTCCCTTCTCACACCACTCATTCTAAGCTTTCATCTCATTAAGGGGATTTGGGCCTGTCTTTTCTAGTGTGAACGACGCCAGTTACATGTACTTCACATATTGAGATACACTTGAAGCAGCATTATGTTCGCGCATAAAACACTGACAGGAATTTCAGACAGGACAAACAGGTTTTTGTGGGGAAAGCCGCAGTGACGATCTGCTGTGTAAACCGCAGTCAATGTCAACTGACACAAAATGATCTTTCCTTATAAGTTCTGCATTGACCCTGAATGGGTCCAAAGTATGAAAGAACCCGCAGAACTCGGAGTCATTTCAATCCGCCTTGTGAAGCGGACCCTTTCTTTTTTTTGTATTGGCTTGCTTGTGACGACATGCCAACGTGTTTTACACTTGATTTCATATTGCTTGTTTTGACACATAGACTATTCACTAACTTTAAGAAGTTTCCAAATACGTTTCATTTTATTTTTTTCGAAGGAATGTCAATTTTAACTTAAAAGTTCTAATGTCGGAATGCAAGATTGCGTTAATCACATAGTAGGCTGTAGTGGATAAAATACCAGATAGAATTAGGTAACCACCCAGACATGGATCTTTGTTTTGTTTGTTTCATTACACACATGTATGCATCTACAGCCTGTTAGTCACCCAAGAGTACATCTTACAACTTCACAACAGCGAAAATTCGCAATCGCAGTTCATCATATATGAGATAGCAAAGTCGAGACATTTTCACTAATCTAACTGAAGACGTTTTTCCTACGTTTGTTTTGTTTCTTTCAGTGCATATTGTCCCTAAATCTTGTGCTTCTTAGTCACTTGGAAAACCGCAGCAGCTTTTACCGATAGAATTTTCTTTCCAATCTGATCATACCGGAAATTACTAAAACGAAATGTAGAAACGAAAACATTCTACCCAATACACGTTTTCTCATTTCTTTTTTCTTTTCTTTTCCTTTTTTTCTTTTAATCTATTTTGTTCCAAAACGTCTCGACTCTTAGTCACTACATTGTCGGTTTCGAAACTTGTAAAAAGGTGAACTTTGCCAAAAGAACGTTCTTTCCAATTTTAGCAAACTGGAAAAGTAATTTGCGGGTTATCTTTAGTAGGCTCACACCTGTAGGTTTTCTCACCCACTTAACACTCATTAGTCATACAAACACAGAAAATTACCAAGAAATTAGTCATGCGGGTAGTAAGATCGCTTCTGAAAAAGTTGCAAAATGTTAAATTTAATAACCAGTGTCTTGAATATAACACCAGATGATGCTGAAGGAAGAAATTTGCTAAAGGAATATTTAAAAACCCTGTCTTTTTTTACAGTAGGGCCTAATATACGTAGTTCTTTACTGTCCTTAATTTAAAAGGTGCTTGTTGTTGTGCAGATTTGAACATTTTTAAGAAGGACCATGTTTACCTTTAAGTAAAACTTCGTTCCCTATTGCCTTGGTTTTGAAAAAAAAGTCTTCTACCTCGAATTGTAGATTATTTACTAGACCATTCATGAGTATTGGTGCGCAATCTTTACCTCAAGATTCCTCCGGGTATGAAGCGAAGGAAAATCTTTTACTCATTGCCACTTTCTTGGCACTAGCTCGAGTTGTTTTGAAGATCTCTGGCTCCAGACAATTATTGTTGGCATTTACCTCTTCCACTCCGGCTGAATCATAACGACCAAAACAGACTGTTACGAATGCTTTCTGGTCTGTCATAATTGTGTTTTATATGTTGCATAGTAAAATGTTGCTTCTTAGTACATGTCATCCAGACGACATTTGATTATACCGCCGTACAGCTCATGCAAAATATGACAACGTCAGCTAAATTAATCTAAATTGTGAAATGAATATTTCAGATATCCATGTTTTGGTTTTCATACCTATTTGAAAGTACTGCCCTTCACTCACAAACTTCTCAATCTCAATCTGAACTTAGTAAGAAACGCAGATTGACCTATGAGAGCCAGTCAATGTGGACCACTTTTATAGTTGGGGTACATGCAAAAGACACATATGTCTAGAATGCTCCTTAAATAGACATTTTTGCTGTGCTTATCACGTGTTTCAAATAAAAATTCAGTGAGGCAATTTTTCCTTTTTTGCAACACATCAAAAGAATTGCACTTTGCATAGTTTACACCATATTATAAGCCACCTTCATTTGTACATTTCCAGATACAATGTATACACTGCCAATGAACCAAATTATCGGCGGTGAGGTATATAACCCATCTGGTTTAGACGCTATCCCTATCCGTAATCCTGCCATCAAGACCTTTAGAGGACTTCTAGATGACAAAGCTGTGGAATTGGATTGTGACAAGCAACAAGCTATTGAAGTGTCAGGGAAGGCTCACAAGGGAGAGTGTTTTGGTGACCTAGACCTCTGCGACCAAGGTATGTGCACCAAGAGAATAATCTTGGATAAAACTTAATTTGTGTTTACTTAATATTAATACAGATGAAAAATAATTAAGTTTTATAAGTTAACTACATAATATTTATCATTCCATGGAAAAAAAGGGCACGCGCATTATTAATTAAAACAGAAACGTGTACATGGAGCATAATAAAACGTCTTTACGGGGTTTATATGTTTACCAATAATCACAAAAAAGACATCAAAAGAGGAACAACTATTTCTTTGATAATTTCATACCCCCCCCCCCCCAAAAAAAAAAATTTTTTTTTTCTCGCGCAAATTTTAAAATATATAATTTACTGAGCCCAGCGCCTTCACAATAGTTAACTTCCTCTGAGGTATGTACTAAAATCAAGTTTTCCTTTTACAGGTTATACCGTGGCAATGTGGGTTAATTTCAAGAATGCTCCATATCGACAAGGAGTTTATATGTCCAACGGTGGTCATAATAGGAAAAACCACGGTGTTGCAATGAAGTACCGTAGTGGTCACATAGAATTTGTATTCCGCAACAAGGCAGCACAAGAATGGGTCGTCAAGGGGGATAATGTCTTGGAGGGACGCTGGTACCACGTCGCAGCGTCTTGGGACCGCAATCGGGGCCTTTTCCTCTATGTGAACGGAGAACAGGTTGACCATGCCAGTTCCTCGAGGAGAAAAGGCAAATTGGACACAACCCATGCTGATACTTTCGCCAAGTTTAACTTGGGTCGTTCCAACGATGCTGAGGGATCTGCCAGCACAGGAACACTACTAGTGGATGAATTTACTTTCTGGTCTAAATTCATGACGGCCAAAGATGTGCGAGAGAGTAAGAAAGGTCAGAAGGTTTCTTATATATGCAGTGAAAAATTACTTTCATAAATAATACCTACAAATTAATATTATTAACTTTTGTTTTACATGTACATATAAATTAGAGTAGGGTAAAAATAACACGATATGGGGTACTGACTGTTAGTGTTATCACAACTATTTATCTCCGAAGTAATTACACAATAAATGGGTAACATTTTAAACCCTCAAAACACCCATACATTATCGTTGATGGGGATGACACATATATAGGCTCTATAAAGATCTTAAAACTACCTTCATTATATTTCATAAAAGGACCCTACTATCGGTACTATTTCCCAATGGAGGGCACAAGCGGCGGCCAGCTCATAACTCCTAGTTCTCTGATACGGGCAACAGTGGGCGGTAACCCTGTTGCTGTCATGGGCCAATACGAATCCGCCCTCAAGCTGGATGGCATCCGGGACTACGTGACCCTTGGAGACGTCCGAGACACCTGCCTAGGCCACCACGCCAAGTGTACCAAAGGCTGGTATATGTCCATGTGGGTGAAATTTGACAGCTTGCCCAACGGTATGGTTCTTTTTGATAATGGCAACGGCACGACCATCACATACAGAAATGGACTCCTGACTGCTCTGGTTACGATGGCGCAAGGCGGTAGGGTAAAATCTTGGCAGGCTTCGGCAAGAAACCTTGCGATGAATCAGTGGTACTTCTTGGAAGTCTCCTGGAGTCAGACCATGGGGCTTAGTATGTACGTCAACCTCGATGAAGTAGACCGTGATAACTCTCCCACCAATGGACAACTTTCAACGTCATTTACACATGATATGTACATCGGGAGGGGGAATTCCAGGGTTGCTCCATATGCCCCAGTAACCATTGACGATCTTGAAATTTGGTATGCTGATAGAAAGAGTCTGTTGGACCTGGATTTCATTATGCGAGGTATTTTTTCACATATATTTGATTCATGTTTTTGTCAGGCTTATGAGTTCTTACATAGATGTGTAAGAATGTTTCTCCAGATTCACACTTTATAATACTTGATATACTTGATAATATTATATTATGAAATCTAATCGGACTTGCTGAATTTTTTCTCTAGGACCACCACAAAGTCATCTCTTTGGATTGGACTTTAAACTCAGCAAGACCCGTGTCGCAGGCCCCTTCCCCGTACACATCCACTCCAATCCCAGTATCGTTGACGGCAAAGTGTTGGGCGCACTGTGGTTGAACGGCGACGAACAGCACGCAGAGGTGAAGATTGTCAACAAAGAAAACTGCCTAGGAAACCTTGACGCCTGTCCCCATGGTGTTACTTTAACCTTCTGGATTCAGCCGGTAGAAATCAAGGATAAAACCTACTACATTTCAACGGGGTTGAACGGTATCACGGCGTCTTACATCAACGGTGAATTAGTATTCAAAGTGGAGACAACCTCTCGCACGTGGATGGCCAAGACGCGAGCTCTCAACCCAGCAACCGGACTCCGAGAAATCGACCCAGATGCTTGGTACTTCATTGAACTCTCCCTTCATCCCGATAGGGGTCTCAAAGTATACGTGAATGGCGAAATGGCAGGACAAGACAAGTCCCCAGACCTCAGAAACATTGACCAAAACTTTGTGTACACGACAGAGAAAGATAGGTTCTATATTGGTAGGGGGAACTTGGATATGACTGACAAAAGGTATGCCAACGCTACCATTGATGAGGTGAACTTCTGGTATGGCCCTAGGGATTATCTGACGGCATTTGGATATCTCAGGAGAGGTGAGTTCGTGTTTATTTGTTGATATGCTTACATCGTATTTTTAAATAGATGTGTTTATTACTCTTGTTGAATGACATCTAACATAATGAAAGCATTTTTATTCACGGCACTTTTTAAAAATAATTATCATACAATTTAGCACACTGTAAATAGGACATTAAAAACAATTTCATTATCAATATTTCAGGTTTGCCTGAGCACTTTTTCATCACTTTTGATGACATTCGCAGCGGTCGCGTTGTCCACGACAAACTTAACATCTTAACTAGGGGCAATCCAGTGGCCGTACCGGGCAAAATCAACAACGCTCTGTCCCTGTATGGTGGACAGTATGCCGATCTTGGCGATCATAGTGACAAATGCCTGGGCAACCTCACATTCTGCAAACGTGGTTTCACTATGGCAACTTGGATGAATATTCGTAATCGCCCATTGGAAGGTACATACTACTTCTCATCTGGAAGAGATGGCATGCAGATTTACTACCAACGGGGAATGTTGTACGCTGATTTTCGCTTAAATGACAAACTCTGGAGAGTCACTCTGCCTGATGTACGCACAAATGAATGGCAATTCTTGGAGTTCTCTTGGCATCCAAAACACGGGCTTACTGTGTATAAAAACAATGAGCTGGTTGGTAGCGATGCTAACGCACAGATTGATACGTCTTATGTCAGTCAAGGGAACAACTTCTTCATTGGTAGATCAAATAATGTGAGGAATTTCAACAACATAGATGCCTTGTTTGATGACACGGAGATTTGGTATGCCAGGCGAGAGGATTTGGTTGCTTTCAACTATATACAAAGAGGTAGGTCTAGAACCAATATCTCTGAAAATATTTCATTACATATTTCTTTGATATTTTACTACTATTATTATGAAGAAAGGTGTATTTTTTTTATTTCACTTTTAATAACGTGGTGTAAGTTACTAAAAGCTAGGGCTTATCTTTTAATTTCTTTTGTGACAGTGAATTACACAATCAACACAAAATGATTCAGATGTACTTTTATGTGAAACTAAAGATTGTAAACTTTCCTTCAGGAAAATACCCGAAGGAATCATTCTCTTTTGAAAATGCCGACGGGAGCAGAGTTATACATCCAAGACACAGTGTCATTCTGCACAATAATGCCCATCTGGTTGTCGGCGATGTCGGGAACGCTGTCGATCTGAATGGAAATGCCCAGTTCGTCACACTGGAAAACCTGTACAGAACGTGCATGGCCAACCTAGAACTCTGCAAGCACGGTCTTACCATGTCCTTCCGTATTAAACCGCGCGATATGGCTGACAACACATACTTCCTTTCCAGCGATGCCTATAAAGTGTTTACCAGAAATGGCCGCGTGCATGTCACCTTCAGCGACAGGAATAGAACGTGGGAGGTATCAACGGACGCAATCCGTAAAGACAACTGGAATCTTGTAGATATATCCTGGCATCCGACTAAGGGATTGGAACTGTACGTGGATAACCAGAAAGTTGCCAGCACAACCGTCTTCACAACTCAACCCAATAGAGAGGTCACCAACAGAAACGTGTACATTGGTAAAACGGATACTTACATGATACGCGAAAACTACGCCAATGCTATAATAGATGAACTTCAGTATTGGTACACGCCGATTGACCAGCTCATTGCCTTTGACATACTGGCAAGAAGGTCTATCTCTAACCAAACTGTTAAGATGGATGTTATCAATGGTAATATTATCCCAAATCCAAATCCAAATTTGGTGATCACTGCAAGTGGAAGGCCATCTGTTGTTCCTGCACAACCGGGTGATCCATTCAATGCTATTTACGTCACCAGAGATCAATATATTGACTTTGGTGGGAACTTCACTTGCGCCGGGAACCCACAGAAGTGCTACAATGGTTACACCCTTAGATTCAAGACCAATCCCAAAACTCTGAACGAGAACATGTATTTTATAAACAGTAACCCTGTGAATGTTTACTGGAAAGAAGGAAGGCTGCACGGAGTTTTTAACACACCGACACAGACATGGGAAGTTTCCACACCGGATTTCTATGCCGGATCGTGGCATGACGTTGATTTATCTTGGGACAGGGAAAATGGTCTAATTTTGTACATCAATGGCACCAAAGTGGACCAAAGAGTCCGCCCTATCATCAGAAAAGACCCTAATGACTACAACAAACATTTTTTCATCGGCACCAATAAGATAACTCCGACTATGCTTAACATTGATGCGGTAGTTGATAACTTTGAGACCTGGAATTACAAGAGAGACTATTTGGTCAGCAAGGGTATAATTACACTTTTCCAAGTAACCACTCCAGCGCCAATTACAACCCCTGCTCCGCCTAGAATTAACGCCATCTATCAAGACGGAAACAACCGCTGGATACCTTACCATATTTATAACTTGCCCCCAATTTTTAATGTTCAAAACGACAGGGAGACGCTTTCCATCGACTTCGTTGCCAACTACCCTGATGGTCTTATCTGGTCCAGTGAAAATGATAACAGGAAGATTTACTTGGCGCTCAAGGTAAATTGTCTAGAAATTGAATAATAATAATAATAATAATACATTTTCGTATTCGTATTTTATTGGGAGAAAGATTACAATCGGTATATTTTTGTACTGAAGATTTAAAAGAGAAACCAGATAAAAATAATTCTACATATTGCTGTAAAAAAATTAACTAACATCCCCTTATCGAAATGATCCATGCTGTCAAAACGTCTGTGGAAATATCCAGGGGACAGTTAAAACTAAATTTTTCATTCAGAGAGGTATTCTCCAAATGGGTGTCACCTTCCCCGATGGTTTGAGCCAACTTCTCAGTGTGGCCCCACGCTCTGGGAACTTCGCCGACGGTCGACTCCACAGGGCAGTCATAACACGGGATGGGCGAGTGGTGAGATCATTTTATTGAATGGCAAAGTATTTAAAGTGATCGTTACAGTGGTGTTTCTTCCCATGCAGAGATTGTCCAAAGCAAAAATAATGTCGGATCATTAAATCTTACACAGTACACTCATTAACAGTACACATTAGAAAGATGTAAACCTAATTCGTAAAATAATTCCAGTAAACTATTGTATTTGTATGTTAAAACGTGTTTGAAGAAGGTCCTTCTTTAAATGACACCCTTATACCCGAACACATTTTATCTAATTTCAGGTAACAACTAAAAATAAATAGTTGCCCAAGTGAATGACTGGAATATTAATAATTTGTGTTTTGATAATGGACAACCCGTCTAAAAGATCGATTGTTCATTTTTACAAATAGAAAAATGTTTTCTTCGCACGTTTTCCTTTTGTACGTAACTTTACAGGTGTCTATATCCGTGGACGGAGCCCAAGGCGACAGAAACATCAGGTTCGAGCGCCCGTTCCGGCTGATCGACAGGGACACCGTCTACCTCGGCGGTCACCCTGACGTGTCAGCCTTCACGGACGGAGCGGTAAATAGGGGGCTGAGTGGCAGAATAACAGAGGTAATACCTAGACACGTGATTTGAAATCTATTCATAATTAATAAAGTAGTACATGATTAAAACGGACATGTGTACTGTCATAATAAGTCCTGTTCTATAATTCCTTACATAAGAATATGTCTTCTTACTTTATTTACATGATGTTAGAATTAATAATGAGGAATACTGACCATTCTGATAAATCGTCTGTTCTTAATGATTTTTCTCAATAAAAGTAATACAACACACAAACACACACGTATTGATTTGGTTCCTTATTGTTACAGGTAATCATAAATGGAAACAGGTTCCCCATCCCACTGAATCTGATGACAGCTTTCCTTCAAAACACCCTTCCAAATTACATTCCTGGAGTGCAGAATGTCATCATCGAGGTCGACGGTGTGAGAAAATACTTCCCTACTCCACCACCGCCAACATCAGCCATTCCAACTCCAGTTACCTTCACGGACGAAGCTGCCTTTATCTATACCACCAACAATCCACCTAAATTTGGTCGGTCTGCTGACGAAATATCATTCACTATGAGGACGGTTGAACCCGAAGGTCTTATATTGATAAACAAGGCAAGAACAGGTTCGGATGATTTCCTGGCAATTGAAATTATGGATGGAAAACTTTGGTTGGTTGCTGAGCGTGCCGGAGAGACCATGAGAGAAGCGTTTTCTGATACTATGGTAAACGATGGTCAACCACATAGGGTGAAAATTCAACGCAACAGCTTTGGTTTGACGACAGAGCTAGACGGCAACAGGAGGAACGTACGCGTTCCAAGACTAGGCAGCGGATTCAACTTGGGTGAACTGACGTACATTGGCGGGTATAGGTATACAACCAATTCGCTTCTCCCTTGGAAGACATGGGCTCGTAAAGGCTATGTGGGTTGTATTTCAGATTTTGTGGTCAATGGAAAATACGTTGATATCAAACAGCTGGCTGCCCAACAGAGTGTTCGCACAGGTGGAATACAGGAGGGTTGCTTCTCAATGCCGACCCGTTGTAGAAGTCAGCCATGTTTGAATGGAGGGGTGTGTCATGACCGGTGGGATAGATACGAATGTGACTGCACCGCCACTGACTACAGAGGGCGTAACTGTGAACAACGTAAGGAAAATTAAAACGCATTTAAATTGTTTTATTTATGCTGATTTTGCTCTCAATACATAGTACTCACCATTTCACACTTGCACACACGCACACACACACTACATGTAACACACACACACACACACAGACACACACACACACACTAAAACTGACTTCAGCAAACATTTCTGGTTTGAATATCAAACCTATCCTAATATCCATATTAAACTCAACGTAAAACCTGTGAATTTGACATTGTAAAACATTGCATTGACACGATAGCCTTTTTGACATGTCACCCTCACTTGGATAATCGTACCTTACAGTTGCACCCATTGGGAGATTTGACGGCCGAACTGGAGTTTACGTGGATATCTTCCCGTCTCTTCACACCCACAAAAACGATATCAGCTTACGTTTCCTGACAACAGAGAGAAATGGCGTTTTGTTCAACACCTATGATGGAGGGCGGACCAATACCTACATGAAGGTTGCCCTTGAAAACGGGAGAGCTAAACTCATGACAAATCTTGGTGGACGTGAAATAGTAAGTTTGCATACACCCAAGCTTCATGTACGTTGATGACCCTGGCCAAAATAAACATGAAATTACATTTCTCTCTTCATAAAGATAAATGACGTCTACAGTTATCTTACGCAATTGTACAAAATATGACAATATCATAAAAAAGGAAATGCATCTATCACAGCATAAATGAAACCAATATTATTTAAACGCAGTAGTAGATAAATTCTTTTATGAAATATGAATAAAGCGATAAAGTTTACTATAGAATATTCATTTGAAAAAGATGAATAACGACACATAGGCCTATATTTTAATAATTTTAATATTAAAATATTATGTGTAACTGTTTTCAGAACCCCATGTATGCTGGAAATAATCTGAACGATGGCAATTGGCATACTCTCCACGTCAAAAGACGCGGTGAACAACTCGAGTTCTGGATTGACAATGACGCTCATCAAAAATGTAAGTTATAGATGCCTTCATACTTCATTTCAAAGTCTACACGGATGTCACTTCTATCAGCATGTTAAGTGTGTTAATTTATGTGTGTGCGTGCGTGGCAGTGAGAGAGAGACCGCTAATATTTCCCCGTTTTCTTACAGACACATTACCCGGCGAAGGATACTTACTGGACATCGCTCGCATTAATATCGGATATCCAGGCGGCAGCATACAGAACCTACGCCCCTCTGACATATTCAATGGCTACATCAAAAACATGCACTTGGCTGAGCTACCCGATAATATCATTATCGACTTCAAAGATCTGAGAATTTACTACGTGCCCAACTATCCCGTCACTTTCCGTTCCCACCAGACACACGTCTCAATAGACGATCTCCGCAACAGTGATTTGAACAACCTGAAATTTGCCTTCCGCACCAATAACACCGACGGCCTAATTCTTTTCAATGGTCGGGGTGCTAATGATGATTTCATCGCCGTAGAGTTAGAAGGAGGCTACATAAGCTTTTCATTTAACAACGGTAACTCTGGACCAGTGAAAATTAAGAATATCAAGAAGGGGCCACTGAATGACAACAGGTGGCATCTTGTGGAAATCCAACAAACGTCGCCAACGGAGTGGGTCGTCGGCGTGGACAACATTTATGAGCGAAGAACTATCAGTCAACAACAGACGGGGACTTTCAGCCTTCGAGGGGGTCTCTTCATCGGGGGCGTGCCCGAGAATATGTATAATCAACTCCCAAGGGTTATCACATCTCGGCGCGGGTTCCAGGGCTGTTTCGATGATCTCACTTTTGGCCAGGGATCGAAACCTGACCTGGTCCGAGCAGGTGCAGGCCAAGTTAGCGTAGGTTGCACAGGTGAGTGCGAGTCTTTGTCCTACAGACTCCGCGAATAATGTCCCCTTTTCTTTGGTAACGTTTGCGTCCTTTTTGATTGTTTAAATTATTACTGGTATTTCCTTTTTCTGCTGTGGTGGAATAATGGAAATATGTAAGAACGGTCTTTGCAGGGACAAGATCAGAATAGTTTTCTGTAGTGTAGAAAGTTTATTATGTTGAGAAGGATGAGCAGTTTCACTAAAAACTTCTGTTAGCGAGGTGCACTGGATGGTACATACAGTCTTGCTTAGTGCATAGATCTAAAAAAAAAAATACAACACTGGTACTGTCGTGTTTCATACCGTAAACGATAACCTAACTGTTTAAAATGTTTTCTTTATTTAGCAGGTGTAAATGGTGTCAAATTTTCAAAATAAGGCACGCTTGTTTGGAAAGCATATAAGATATGCCGTAATTTGAAAGGATGCAGGTACCATAAAGACTTTTTTTAAAATTCTCTGGATTCATTTTACACAGGTCCAATTGCAATGTGTGCTGACGACACATGCAAGAATTCAGGAGAGTGTATTCAACTTCCAAATGGGTTCTACTGTGACTGTAACATGACCTCCTATACTGGAGATAGATGTACAGAGGGTACGTAATTATCATGTAATACACGTGTATTCTGTGAGTTTTTTTTTTAAAGAAAGTGCAGGGATTTTCTCTTAGTAGAATATGTTGAAAATTTATATCCCGTGACACAGATAGGCCTATTATCGTGAAATGAATCATATTACCTTAATAAATATATTGAATGCACCTTCGAGATTTCACGACCGAGTGATTTTACTCAATTATTATTTATAATCATTTTTCGAAGTTACATGTATATGATATTATTTAGATTAATTTTTTATTTATAAATTGCAGACAGCACTTCGTTCTCCTTCACGAAGGGAATCATCGTGTACCGTATCAACGACCCCACCCCGTCCAGTAAGGATGACATCGCCCTCGGGTTCATCACCAACTATCCTGACGGGACCCTGCTTCGTTCAGACGGCGCAGGCGGGGACTTTATAGAGCTCAAACTTGTAAGTGAACTTCATAAATCATTCTCTTTATAGATTTTATCAGAATTCATCGCCGGATGTTTATTAGCCATTAAAACAATTTAAATAAAATTGGTAGATTGAATTTAATTTTTTTACTTCTGAAATGGTAATATTAACCTTTAACTGTTGCGCTTAGGCCTATTGATTACATTCTAAATCTCTACTATTGTGCGACTACGGAGACTGAATTAATTTTTTGGGGAGGGACCCCCCCTCCCCCCCCCTCAACCCACTAGGTCTGCCTCCGATATAAGATATTTGAAACTTACGATTCATTCCAGGAAAACGGCTATGTGGTTGCTACTTATGACATTGGCGACGGCGTCCAGAGAGTCGTGGAGGACAGGCGGAGATTCAATGACGGCAACTATCATATCGTGCGTTTTACAAGAGATGGCCGCAACGGATTCCTCCGAGTTGACAGCTTACCAACAAGAGCGATTAGACCCAGTGAGTTTTAAAAATATTTAACGTCATTATTTACAAATTTTATATAAGTTCCATGTAAAACGCCTTCTTATATACTTTTTTCACTTTAACATCTGATAATGACGTTTTATGAATACTTTCATAATTGCACACCATTCTCTGTCATTCAGGTAGTGGAGTGATGACATTTTTCAATCTCCTGAAGGAGATAAAAGTAGGAGGAAACCTGGACTCCAGAGGAAATATTATTGACTATTTCACAGGAATTATCTCAGGTAAATTACTGGTGAAAATTAAACAGCATTTATGACGGACTTTCCTATTAATGTAGCATTAACCGGATTAACAGTATTGTACTAAATAGAGCACTTGGAGATGAGGAAGATGACATTGACTATTAAGGGAAATAAAGAAAACAGAATAAAAATCCAATACATGAAATATTTTGCACTCTTAGGCATAATTCCTTTAACACCAAATAAAGTTATACTGTATTAAACAAAATCTCTAGTTATTAACACCAGGTTGTTTTTGTACAATGTACTTGTTAATGTGAATTACAAATTGGGGTCCAATTCTAGGTACAACAAGTTTAATGTCTTATTTTCAGGGGTAAACTATAACAGGTTGAGGGTCCTGGATCACGCCAAGGACAATCCAGACATTATCACTGGGACCGTGCGTTTTACATTCCCGCCATACGTGTAAGTTACTATCCATGTGCACAACTGTACCACTGATTAATCTTCTCTTTTTTTAGCAAATGATATCTTTTGTAGTCATGTGTTATGATTTTGTTAATAAAACATAAAATAGCGCTACCTTTTTCTAGCCATGACATGTTATTTTCTTCTCTTTTGACAGAGGGAGGGTGTTCAGTCCACAACATTTATTTTTGGGGTGGTCGTGGGGGTGGGTGGGGGGGGGGGTTGGATGGGGATGTGATTGGGGGGGGGGGTTGGAGACGCCCTCTTTATCCAACTGTGTAACTTCTTATTGGCATGTTTTACGGTGAGAACATGTGCCTATATACACGTGCTGTGTAACATTTTCACTTCTTTTTTTTTTTTTCAGAATCCCAACTACACCTGTTATTTCAACAACTACACGGGGTATGTATCAACAGTGGACACCATTATTCAATGGAATATATGTCAGATTAAATTATATTTTAAGGGTAAAAGTCAAATCATAGTTGAAATAAACGGTTTGGCCTGATACATGTATCAGAGAACAGTATTTTCTGTTTAATCTAACAAATGAATTTTAAGTGGATATTTTACTTCTCCTTTCCCTTAATATAGGGCCTATTAGTTGAACATCCAGTGTTAAACACTATTTAATCCTCAATTTTCTCCTGCAGCCCCAAGACCCCCAGGGCCACCAGAGGGAATCCAGGTTGATGTCAGGACCACAGATGCCAGGGTCACCTGGCAGAGTCCCGCCAGCACTGGAGGTTCACCCCTCAGGGGTTATTTGATTAGGGTCAAACAAGAAGGGGGCGTGTGGGAGACTGCAAACATGGGACCAGATATCTTCTCTCACACTTTCACAAACCTCATCCCAAATACGCAGTATTATACTCAGTTGTTTGCACTCAACTCTGATGGATACAGCGTTCCTGTTCCTGCTGATTTCCAAACACTCACTGAAAAAACAACACCTGGACCACCAAGGAATCCTGTGATCACTGATGTCACTTCAGAACGGGCTGTTGTCAAATGGCTGCCTCCAGCTGATAATGGTGGATCTGAGATATTGTATTATGACGTGGCCATCCGAGACCTCGACAACCCTACATGGACCACTGTTGGGAACCGGCTTTCAGTAGGGACAACACAGTACATACTGAATAATTTGGTTGAAGACAAATACTATACAGTGCGTCTCTATGCCTATAATGCCCAAGGGCGCAGCCCTCCAGCCATCATTGACAGATTCAAAACCGAAGTTGTACGAAGACGCCCTGGTCCACCACAAGGTTTGAGACCTACCAACATATTAGCAGAATCCCTTGTCCTGAACTGGTCACCTCCACAGCGACCCAATGGTATTATCCGCCATTACGAAATTGAGAGCAGAAATGAAAGAGATCCACCCAACAGATTTCAGTCTCATGGTAGAGTTAATGGAATAACACTGAGCAAACTGATATCTAATCTAATTAGTGATGACAGATATGTATTCAGGGTGAGGGCAATCAATGATGTTGGTCCTGGTGACTGGGCATCAAGTGTCTTTCAGGTGACTCCTGCTGAAGGCACACGTCCATCCCGTGTCCGCGACTTGGTGTTTTCTATCATTGGTGAAGACAGTCTGACCCTAACCTGGCAACCCCCTATACTTGAGGGTGGTGGACCTGTGACAAATTATCTTGTGCAGTATCAGAACATCAATGATGAAAGGTGGAGAAACGGCCCCACAGTCCCAGCACCTGTGACTAGGACAACTCTAACTGGCCTAACCAACAAACAATACTACAATGTACGGGTTGCTGCTGTTAATAAGTATGGCAGAGGTGACTTCAGTCAGCTGGGCCCACAACTTGTTGATGTGGCCTCTACTCCACCAGAACTTCCAAATGATCTGACTGTTATTGCTGAAGATTATGATGAGAAAAGTATGACTGTCAGATGGTTCCCTCCTACATACGCAGGAAACCCTCCATTTGATAGATATGTGTTACAAATCAAAGATGCTGATACTAACAGATGGATGAGTCCAGTGACCCTTAGTGATGAAACAACTACGTACAAATTCAAAGATTTGGATCTTGGTCAATACTATTCTTTCAGAGTAGCAGCAGAAAGTGAAAAAGGAAAATCTCCATTCTTCACCATTGGCCCCATCCTTTTCCAGAGTAAAGCAGAGAGACCAACTCCACCACAATCTTTGAGAGTCATGAATGTCACCAGAAACAGCATCACGGTAGCATGGGATGCACCTATTTATGATGGAGGATCTTCAATTATCCATTATATTGTCGAGACACGTGACATGAATAGTAGTTCTTGGGTTGTCAGAGGAGCTGACATTGGGGCTGAGGTAAGACTCTTCAGGATAACAAATCTGCTTGAAGAACGACCATATTTGGTTCGTATCAGTGCTGAAAATGTCATTGGCAGAAGCAACCCCAACCAGATGACAGAATATGTCACACCAAAAGATATCATTCAAACACCACTGGAACCACAGTATATTTATGTAGAAGAGATGAAAGACACCCACATGATAGTCAAATGGGTTAAGCCTATTTGGGATGGAAATTCACAGATTCTCAGATATGTCATCGAAATCAAGGAAGAAGGCACTAATAGATGGAAAGTAGCATCAGAAGTTGGTCCTGATAAACGTACCCATCGCATCGATGGACTTAAACTAAACAAGGGCTACTGGGTTAGAATAAAGGCAGTGAATAAAAAAGGAAGTGGACCTTATAAGAGCACTGACTTGGTGAAACCAACTCTCAATGTTCCATTCGCTCCCAGGGAAGTTCATGTGGTTGGAATTGCAACAGCAGACAAAGTTCATGTTGAATGGTTAGAACCTCTGTTTGATGGAAACTCAGTCATTACCAACTATATAATTGAAATTAAAGATGAAACGGCAGGAAGTGGCTGGAAAAGAATCGGAAAGACTGCCGGTGGAATTAGGGAATATTTCCTCAGGAATTTAACTGAAAGCCACATCTACCTTGTGAGGGTCTCTGCAAAGAATGCCATTGGTAGAGGTGAACCAAAGGAAGGAAACGAAAGAATCGTCATTCAGACCTCGATCAAGCCTCCAAGTGCACCAAGGAACCTTATAGTAAAATCCGAAGGAAATGGGCTGATTGCCTCGTGGGAGGAGCCAGTAGACCTTGGCGGTGCTGTTATAGACAGATATATACTGGAATCCAGACTGTCATCAGCTGATGACTGGGTTTTGTACAACTTCATCCCAGGTACATCACTTTCTCAAGTCATTAAAGATCGTCAAGTGGGAAAGGGTTACTATGTCCGTGTTGCAGGTATCAATGTAGCTGGCCAAGGTCCATTTACTGAAACACCAGGCCCCATAGTTGTTGTAGGTGGCCCAGTTGTGCAACCTGGGAAACTTCCAAATGGCATGGGTGGTGCTGGGGCTGCTGGTAGTGGAGCTGCAGGTAATGTGATAGGTGTGCCTGGTACTGCATTTGGTGGTGCTGGACAGGTTGGAGCTGCTGCCCTGGCACCAGCTGCAGTTGTTGCTGGAGCTGGTGGATCTGGTGCTGCGGTAGGTCCTCTAGTTGGAGCAATAGCAGGCACTCTACTAGGACTTATGCTTCTTGGCAGTGCAATAGCATGGGCATTATACAAGTGCAAACCTGGTTTGATTCCATGTGGTGGTGGCAAAGCTGGAGGAGGTGGTATTTCATCGATCTCTTCGCCAAGTGGTGCAGCTCTGGTAGGAGAGGGTGCAGGTGCTGGAGCTGGTGCTGGAGCTGGGGTCAAAGCTGATGCTAATGGAGCTGCAGCAGGTAGTGGAGGTGGAGCAGCTGCTGAAAACTATTTTGCTGCCATAGCTGGAGCAGGTGGAAATGCAGGAGGCAGACACGGAGTAATCTCGGTATATGATGCAGCCAATACTGACATAACTGATGCAGGTGCATATGGAGCAGGAGCAGGTGCAGGCTACGGAACAGGAGCAGGAGCTGGATATGGTGCAGGTGCTGGGTATGGAACTGGCAACTTTATGCAGGAATCCATGCAAACCCAGTCCTATGAATCTGCTACATATGGTGGCTATGGAGCAGGGGCTGGTGCAGGTGGTTATGGTACCACAGGTGCTGGAGCTGGTGGTAGAAGTTACAGTATGAGTGATGCAGGAGGGTCTATGACTGGTGGCAATGCTGGCTATGGCACAGGTGCTGGCTATGGCATGGGCACCATGGGCTCCTCTTCCTACAACTACCAGATGGAAAGCACCATGACTACAGGAGGTGGTGGGAATATTCAGATGATGGGTATAAACCAGGCTGCTGGAGGAGTGCCTGTTCCATTCCTGACTCTGTCTGAAGAAATCAAGGTGGATACCTGCCTACTGACCAATAATGGCCGCTATGTGGTGACAGGCTCAAGCTGTGGACCTCCCCAAATTTGGGACATGAGTGTAAGTTACCTAAATGTCTACTTAATTATTAGTTGTTTTAAAAACAAACAAATGCTACTGTTCATTAGGACAATTACTTTATCTGTGAAATTATTTTGAAATATTTTGAAATGAGACCAACAAGCTCTTTCAACTCAAATACTGATTTTGTCTATTTCAGAATGGTGAACTGGTGCGTATTATGAAGGGAGATGACATGGCCTCTACTGATCTCCATCTTGCCATGAATGATTCCTTGTTAGTTGGTCAAGTTGGTGCTGAACCAGTTCATTTAGATATGAATGATGTCCAAGCTGGAAACCATGTTCCATACAGGAAACTACAGGTATGAACACAATAGAAATGTAGTATGAAATTTCACAAGGTTTTTAACTTATTAGATTGGAAACTTTTAACGTTAGCATAAATATTAGGGAAAGAAAAAGAAAAGATAAAGCATTGTTAAAGAGTAATGTTTTATATTATTATTTCAGATCTGGGACTTTGACACAGGAATGCCCCTTGACATGCCCCATCCAGAGCTTTGCACAGCCAGTTGTATGATGAATGATGGAGAAAAGGTCGTCTTTGCACGCACAGATCGTTTTGGAAACAGCACCAGTGTTATTGTCTACGATCTCCCTGGAAATGAAGTTATCCGTGAGTTCAAGTATGAGGGTGCTATAGGGATAGCTGATAGTGTTAGCTTCCTTGCCCTCTCTCCAGACAACCGGTATGCTGTGGCTGGGTTCCACAATTCCTATGATGGAAATGCCAACTTCTTGGTCTTTGATCTCACCAGCCCATACAACACTGCCGAGCCCAAAATCTTGGCCCTTGACGCAGAACCTGAATGTACTGCTGTTCTGGATAACCACGAGGCAGTTACAGGTACACGCAAGGGAGAACTTACCATATGGAGTTTGAGAACCGGTAAAGCACTCAGACAGCTGATTACTGGAGGGGACACCACAACAATGGGCAGAGGGGTTTCTAACACTGTTGCCCACACTGGTGAGGTTAGGGCTGTTGTTTTGTCTCCTGATGGAAAGCATCTTGTATCAGCCTCTTCAGATGGAACTCTTAAAGTTTGGAATACAGCTACAGAGAAAATGGAACACAATCTTCGGGGCCACGCAGATGAGGTTTGTTCATTGTTATTTGTAGTGTGTTATAATTTTTTCCTATGCATATAATGCTTGAAACAAAACTTATGTATAAAGACAAAAAATGCAAAAGGTTAGTTTCTGTTTAATGTTGGTTTTAATTTTTTTTAACATCTATATATTTCCCTTGTAATATCACTTAAAACTGCATGAATTTCAATGGTTTACAATTTACATGCCAAAACAGGGAAGTTGCATGTTTAGATTAACTTCGTGAAAAACCTTTTATTTACAAATCGTGCTCCTTTTTTTAGGTTTGGTGTGCAGCCATCTCCCCAGATAATGACTTCATTGTCTCTGGATCTCGCGACTGCACCATACGCTTGTGGAAGATGAAGTCGGGCAAAGAGATCTGCAACTTCTACACAGGTATTGATGTCTTCACAGTGAAGATAAGCAGTGACAAGAAGACCATAGTGGCACTGGGTGACAAGTTTGCATCAAGAAAACTTATTATGTTGCAAATAGTGCACAGCAAAGGACCTAGGAGATAATAGGAAAGACTTCCACATCATGATTTACATGATAATGTTAAAACACCTGAGTAAACATGTCAGTGGAATTGGTAAATTTCACTGAGGCAATGTGAATTTAGAAAAAAAAAGTTTTAAGGTGTTTCCATCAAATTGTGCAAAGACTAGTGATCAGAAATAATTGGTTTATAGTATTTAGACTTGGTAAACTTGCCAATGTTGAAATGTGATATATTAAACATTTGAGATATAGTATTAAAGTTTGAGCTGAATCTCTATTTATGAGACAAAATAGACAGCACGAGTCTTGCAGAATTCTAGTAGAGTAGTTTCTGGATATCAGTTACCTTGAGGGTAGGGCTCATAGCTAGCACATATGTTATATATCTGTATCTGTTAACATGTATTGTTCAACGAATCACGAGTAGAATTGACTGAAACAAAACACTTTTTCTGAGATTGAATTATAAGTATACATATTATTCATTTATTTGATGTTCTTTACGCAATTTTCAAGTGCATTTTAACAAGGAAGTAACAGTTTGGTGTAGTGCTGCCTTACTATTTATATTATTCGCATTTGCTATTTCATATATTAATTACACATTTTTCTTGAAATGTATTGTAGACAATTGGTCATGCAATGACATTTGTTGCAGCATGTATTATATCATTACTTTATACCAAGTCGTATACATGATTAATAATATTATTAAATACATTTTATTAACTTATATACATCGTGCATGCTTAGTTGAATATAATGTGTGAAGGAATTGGAAAAGACCAGCTAGATATTTATTGCATTGTCTTAGCAATGTTATGAAGAGTTATGCCAAAAGACAAATTAAGTGCCATTATTTATACTTTTAACTGTGACATATATGATTTAAGGCTTAACTATGTTTGTGCTGTAATGTTTAATGTTTTTAAAGTGTCAGAAAATAAAACCCAAGTTTATGGCACAGTGCAATATGAACTTTGTGGTGAAGAGGTTTCTTTTTTAGTTTTTGTTGGCAGCTTCTTTCACCTATGCTCATATTTGACAGGTAACATGGTATTTTACTCATCTATATTTCAAAGCTCCCCATGATCCCTTGTTTTTTGTTTTTTTTTTACAGTCAAATGACGTAAAAGTTTATCTAAAAGAAGACATGGGAAACAAGACAGCTTTGAAGTGTATGGTATTTGTGCATAATCCAATTAAAGGATTTCAATTGACACAGCAATTAATTTGCTTTTCAAAATAATAGGTCTCAAACAATAGGTCAAAAAGTAGATGTAATTTATTCCCTTGCTTTCAGCACTTTTTTTGTTATATTTTATACTCTTCTGTTGCTTTAATGTCTTATTGTCTTTTTTCATACAAATACAATTCTGCTGTTTTTGTACACTTGCTTTTTTAAGGAATAAAATGACATATGTGAAATGTCAAAAAGATGCAATTATTGATTGATCACAGTATTCTTAGAATTAACAACTCCATTGCAACATTCCCCACTTGCTTAAAATTCAACATGCTCCTGTTTTGTTCACAATCACTATATAATAATAATAATAATAATAATAATAATAATAATAATAATAATTTGGTATGGAGGCTCTGAATACACCATCAAAAATATGAATATGTTGCTAAAACTTATGATCATCTGCTTGCCAGGACATATGAAAGCTGGCCCATTTAGTTCCTGAGAATAAAAGCATTTCTGAAGAGCTTGTAAACATGTTTACAGACCCTAGTTCCTAAACTGGTTTGGATACTAGGGTATACGTACTTTAGTGATAAAGAGAAAATTGCTGAAACTTCCAGGAAAATTGATTTCTTTGCCATATAAATTTTCCATGAACATGGTTTACCCTTTAATTCAAATTTGATTTAAATCCCATCTTAGAATAAAATAAAGGTTTCCAAGCATATACGTTTTGCACTAATCTGGCATAATCATTGCCTATATAAACATTGCATGCATCTACGTAACACATCGTGGCAGTAGCTGGCTGTTTTTGAATATGAGGATCTGGCGTATTAAAGACAGTTTTGTAAATCTCTGATGATATGTTAAATTCTCCAGGAATGCATACCTCTTTTGGGCATTTTTTAGCAAACAGAAAAGACCCCCTTCCTGAGGTGGGTGCTTCGATACATTTACCTAACCCAAGTGATTCTAAATACTTCATGCATTGTTTCACTCCAGCAGACTTGAACTTGTTCAACTTTATCCTTTGTATTGTTCTTGCCAATACTATTGGCCCTGGGTTCATTAAGATGACTCTTCCTGCTTTGACAAAGTCCTGAAAAATAACACAGTTCAACCAGACCAGCTTTATAAAAATATGTAAAGACAATATTATAGAACAGTGATTGCACAACAATACATGAAATCTGACCTTTTTCTCATATCAGTTAATGCAATACGATTTGATTTATAAGAGATATGTCAGCACACAATAGAATGAGGAGTTCACTAAAAGCATGAAATCTATATTTTTATTAGTTTATACCATAGCTTTATCATTTTTAAATCTCATATATTTTGGAGTCTTATTCACTGATTTTGGCACATGGAAAAATTGCCTTTTAAAAGAACAGGTCTTCATCCAAATTAGTATTTCTGTACATGTATACCTTATGTGGATTGATGAAATAAATTTAAATTGTGATATTAAAAAAGTGCATTCCAGTTTGCTTAACCAGCAATAACAAAATAATCTATTCTGTAAAAATTAAATTGTCTTTTCTGGTAATGTGCTGCAAAATCACACTTGGGAGTTTCTGAACATGGGCAGCTTAACTCATTTGCATGGTAAAATGCATGTGTACCAAGTTGGTGGGCACTGTTCTGGAACACTCTGCTTCTAGCATGCTTGATACATACTAGTACATTGGGAAACCTTTAGGTACCTATGCTGGGTGCCTCCGACTACTAGTTAGGGGCCACCTGTACACTTTTTAAAGTGTTTGGAGGTTAAATCCTAAGGTAACTTATGAGACATTGATGTTACAAAATTTTTGGCTCAATTTCTGCATGCTTAAGGTAATGACTTGATCATTTCGACTGAAAATTCTTAAAATCAGAACATTCTTAGTGAGTGGTAGCAACACAATTGAAAAGCAGACTACCTAATGGTTGTATTCTATACAGCGAAAGCACCAAAATGCTACAGAGAAATGTATCTTTAATGACTCTAAAATTATGTATCCAAAAATTAATAATTTCTGCTGGTTGAAACGATCGTGTCATTACCGTACATTTACTTTTTAAGAATGTGTTCAAAGAATGCGTTGATTCATTTATTCAGATATACTATCAAGGGGTATTTAAAACTCAAAAGCCATATTCTTTAAACTCAGCGGGAGATAAATCTTAAGTTGAAAAACATTTTTTAAAAGTAAGGAATATTGAAAATGTTCCAAATATAAAAAAGGAGAAAGGGTTCATTGAAGTTGGATAAAAATAGTAACTGAAAACAGGGTGTCTTATCACACACAGTAATATATTACTGTATATCTAGATCTCAAGATTTATAAATCTGTTTTCACAACAAACCAGACAAATCATAGTCATAAAATCTACTTTATTCACCATAGCCATAGATAAAATTAAAAATTTCATAAATCCCAGGTAAGTATCAATCTGTTTCTGACTGCGTGCACGGGTTACTCCAACTAAAAGAAAAAAAGGAGAAAAGAACAAATTATACAAATTTAACCTTACTTATCATGTTATACTCTGATATTTGAAATGATATAACTTAGAGGGAAATATAATTGCATTTGAATAACCATAATTTCAGTCAGCAAGTTCTTGTTACATTAGCACCAAAGTCCTGAAATTTAACTTGTCAATGACAAATATCAGTTTATCTGTGACTAATATCAGTTTATCTATTCTGAATGAGCAATTGAAAATTAAAAAGACCTTTGACCATTTCAATCTTGCTTCTAATAATACTTACCTTCCTGAGACATCTGCGTGATGTTGAGATTTTAGAATTAATTGCTGCGTTGACTTGTATAGCATTCAATCCTAATTTGGACATTCCATAGACTGAATAAAAAAAGAGAATATAAAGTGGCTACAATTTATCAAACTAATAAAATCAATATTCAAACTGGCAATTCTTTTAATCAATTATACATCATATTTAGACTTGGTGCAAATTATGCTTAGTTACTTCAATAATATATCCCTCTTCTTATATGAAATTTACAACATTAAAATAGGCCTTATTTTATCAATAACAGATAACATAAAAAAAGTAATGGCACAATATATACATATTCTTACAGCTGAAAATAAAAACATACTCTGTAGAGCCTTTGCCACTGGGGAGTCCTTCAAAAAGGAAACAGCAGTTTTTGAGGCAAGTTCGTGTGGGGTAAAAAAGCCATCAAACAACTTCTTCAAAACAAAGCTGCTAGGCTTATTGGTGCATTTTGACAGTGTTTCCATAAGCCATTCTGATTCTACTACCAGGTCTGTCCCCTCTAGTCTGGTCATGCCAGGGTCAACCTCTTGTCCACTCTCCAATATCACCTGAAAAATTATTTGTCCGTTTAACTTCATGATGGCCAAAGCTGTGAAAGCAAGAGAAATTTGACCTATCTTAGGAATCAAGACTAAGGAAATGACCTGGTGATGTACCAGACAAAAGTGGGTATAAATAACATATGACAATTAACAGTATAGAATTTTAATTGAAATATTACTTACCAAGTTAACACAACATGAAATATCATATCAAGTTTCTCTTGACCAATGCCAAACCATTTTGAATGATTTTTTTAGAAGATTGAATATTGTATCACTGGATAACAAACAGGAGTTTTCAAAAATAAATCAATTTTTACTTTTAAAATATTCATCTTATAAAATAAAAGAACAATAAAGGTGTAAGGTAAAGTAAAATATAAAATGGTGAGTACCAAAGAAAAAAAATGCATTTCACACAGGAACTCATTTTGACCAACCCCCAAAAATCTTGGTCACTGTCTTTTTTGCAATTTTTTTTACTGAAATAGAGAGCTAAAATATGCTTACAAAGTTTGCTTGCTCAATTCTAAGTCCTCTGCTGGGCTGATATTTTTCTGTGTTTGGGTTCAGGTCCACACTGGGTGTCAAAAGCTGTTCTGAAATTGAAATGTAAAATTCAGATAAAATACTCTTCAGCACTTGAACATACACTTCTTTACAGTCCCTCCAAATCAAATACTCAAATAAATACTTCTTTTTAGCCAAATTTATTTTGGTTAATAAGGATTTGACTGAAAAATGTACAGGAAAATTTTGTAAATATTTTTTTGCACTAAAAAGCAATTTTAACAAAATGGATACATACCATATTTCAGCTGCAGCTCAGCATAGTCTACACATTTCTTTATGTTGTCTTTTCTCAGTGTCTCAGTGGCTTTTGTAGCCTCTTGCAGTTTTTGCTGCAGTGAGATGCACTCACTACACCCATCAGTGTCCAGCATGAGAAAGGCACAGCTGTGCATTGTAGTAGTATGATGATGCTGGGCCAGGCTGGGGGTGGTAGGAAGGGGCTGGGCCAGGAGTGCATAAGAAACAGGTGTAGGGCCTGTAGAGGGAGCTGGTGGGAATCCCAAGATGTCAGAAGTTGAAGATGTAGTGGGTGCAATTACTCCTATGCCCTTCTGATAAAGAAAAAAAAATATACAAATTTAGTTACAGTTAAATAGTCTTCTTGATTGTAAGTAATGTCAATTTGATGTCACAAAATTTGCAGGGGGTTTTCAGTACTCAACACTCAATCATTACTTCAAATTGGGAATGAGGGCATTTGCTACTTTCATATAAACTGAGAAATCTAATTTTGTGGGCTAATGTCCACTGCACACTTAACACCTTTGTACAAATTGTACTCATTACCAGTGAAAAATTCTCGCTGGACGTCTGTGTTGTAATACCAGAACCATCTATTACAGCCCACAAGTTAATCCATTTGTCTTCAGCGCTCTTCGCACAGCTAGCAACTCTGTGTGGCACCAAAGGGCGTAACGCTCGTTATGCTGTCTGTTTTCGCTTGCATTATCTCTTTGGCAATCATGTCATGTGATTAGGTTGGGTTTTGCAAAAATACGCACAGGCATATCACAAAGCAGAGAGAGCAATTACGTCAGAGCAATGAACTGTCCTGATTGCTGTCAGGAAAAATTGTGAGGGACTTGGCGAGTGCTTATACCTGGTAAGAAGTGTAAAGTGTAACCAACCCTTTAAATATTGCTCGGATATACTCACAGGGTTTGGGTACAAAATGTGAACAGAATCAGTCAGAGAAATATCTGTGAATATCTTGTGAAAGATAAATCCTTGGTCCTGGTAGAGGGTATAGAAACTGTATGCAACAAACAAAAACCCAAAATAAACGATATAAATATTCAAAAGATGGTGTTTATAAAGTTGTACCAGTAATTTAATTTACACAAACAATAGTTTATATATTTCCTTCTGGTTAAAAATATTGTTTTTCCAATATCTTTATCAGTTTTTCATACTAGGATTTATTAATACTGTAATATGATTTGTGTATTTAGTAATACTGCCTTATATTATATTTCACGCACAATGCTTATCAGTATCTGTAAAAATCCTATAAAAAATCAGATTTATCTCAAATTGTTCATATTCTAACAAATAGGAACTCCCTTACTTATAATCAATTCCTCTTATTGGATATAATTCTCACTTTAATCTTATTTTGATTCAACTGATTTTCGTCTACAACTGTTAATCTTTCACCCTTGCTACAGGATATATACAAGAACTAAGAACCAATCAAAACCCAAAATATTTCTCACTTCATTTTCATTTGTTTTATGCAACATAGATTATTCTGATTTCTCAAGTATAAAAAACATCCTTCCCATTCCCTTACTTCTCAAACTTTGCCAATTCAAAGAAAGTATTATCAACTTGTTATTAATAGTCATAGATATACTTAATAAATTGCCTAGACAAAATACATGCACTCTGGTTGGTTCATGATGAGCTTAGTCAACAGCACACTCACTCCTCCTTTGGAATTTACTGGTAATGTTTTTTTTTTCTGGTCTGCTTTGCCCCAGTGCTTGTTTTCACTCACATAGTCCTCCTTTGTTTATTTTTTTTTTCTTCGTGCCAGTTTGCTGCTAATCTAAAGCATTGTTTATCACTTCTCCATACTATTTGTTGATGTTATATAGACCTTATCCTAAAATCCTGCATCTCATTGCAAGACTGTTAAAAATATCTTTTTGATCTCAAGCAAACTAAAGAGTAGCAATATAAATTTGTTTAAGAATCATATCTTCTGCATTGAACTTTTTAATGAATGCTTTCCTCTGGGAGTATTAGCAAAATACATGCGTTTCTTACTGCACATCTGCCACTGTAACAGCTTGGCTTAATATTTTGGTATCTGTATATTAAATACTATGAACTCTGAACATAATATAGGGCTTACACTTTTTAGGGATGAAGTTAAAAGTAATCTACCTTATATAGGTCAGATATTTGGAAAGAAGTAAAGAAAAGTAAGGTGCATATCTTTATTAAACCAACATCATAACTGATTACACTGATATGTTGCACAACATCTAATTAAAAGTAATATGAAACTACTGAACTAGCCAAAAAAACAATTGCAAAATTGACCATAAATAAATAAATAAATATTAAACAAACAAATAAATAAATAAATAATAACACTAAATAAAATTTAATAATAAAATAAATAAATAAAATAATAAATTTAAATGACAGAAAATAAAACAAATCAATAAATGATATTTAAAAGATAACATGAGGTACAGTGCATCATGAGTTTTTTCCTCTTTTATGCTAGAGTCAGTGATAATTATGTTTCAATATACATCTCGCGTACTAATCTAGCATATTCATTGCCAAGAAAAGTATCACATGCCTCTACAAAATGCAACTTGGCAGTAGTTTGTTGCTTCTGAATAAGAGGATCTGGTGTGTTAAAGACAATATTGTAAGCCTCTGATGATATGTTAAATTCGCCAGGGATTTGGATCTCTTTTGGGAGTCTTTTTGCAAACAGAAAAGACCCCCTTCCTGGGGTGGCTGCTTCAATACATTTACCTAACCCAAGTGATTCTAAATACTGCATGCATTGTTTCACTCCAGCAGACTTGAATTTTTTCAATTTATTCATCTGCATCATCCTTGCCAATACTATAGGACCAGGATGTATCAAAATGACTCTCCCGGCAAAGACAAAATCTTGATATTCCTGAAAAAACAGTTTAATTTTATCAAGGCATTTCATTTGGGCAACATTTCATCTTTAAGAATTAATCATCACATTATATTTGCACTTCTTAGATAGTAATCATAGCAAAATCCTGCTCTTTTCTTTTGTCAGTTTAGTCCCACAAAGGTGCAACACATTTACCGAATACATTGAGGTATCTTATGCATACTGCATATCAGTTAAGAGTGGTACTTGATCAAATGTAAAAGAACAGGATTTCATGCTATTCAAGCCTATACTCTACTTGCACAGCAAAAAAAGTTTAAAATATCTATCTAAATTTGAAACTAGACTTGGAAAGGGATTTAGTAACAGCTATATCCTGCAGTTACCTATGAGGCAGTAAACTTAATGGTAGTAGGTTCACAGGCTTCACAAAGTATAGACTTAGGGCAATCCCCAATAAACCAATTGTTTTTCGTAGGTCAATCCAAGTCTGTGGGGACTTTTGCTGAATGCAATCAGATAATCTGAATGACACGCCTCCTTGACTTACATGTGCATTTGGTCGCCATCAAAATGAAGTCAAAAAGCTTCCAGAAGTGGAGCACACATGAAAGTTAATCAGCCCATGACTACTCCAAAAGGCGTGTCATTCAGTTTATCTGCTGCATTTAGTAAGAGTACCTATGAAGACGAATTGATCTACATAGAATGGTAGTTTCATGATGAATGGACCCTTAAGGTCAATTCAAACCATGGTGTCTGTTATTTTAATTATTTAAAGAATAAATGAGGAAAACCAATTTTTATCTAAAATAGAACAAACCTTTGGACACTTTGTAACTTATATACATACACAGATGGAAAAAGAAGTAAATTTAGATAAAAATGTAGGTGCTAACTTTAAGATGAGATATGAACCTATGTTATATTTTTAAAAAATCAGACTACAGGGATTATTTACTGTCTGTGTTGAGTCTGATGAAGGTGCATTAAGTTAGTGTCAAATAATAATTCTTTGACCTTTTCCATGAACAAAAGTACAACTACAGAAATAAGTATAATATCCCAAACCACCACCTCTTCTCTTGTTTTTTTTTTCATTTATCCTATATATATAAACCATTCAATGCAACAAAAAGGTACATCAATTATTTCTGCTTCTATGTCTAGCCTCAACTAAGTCAATTAAATGCTATCTTCTTATATCGTCCAGTTATCTATGGTGGAATTTTAAAACTGTTAACAAAATTAGAGTGAAAACAACTTCCAACAAAATAAAACCAAAATGGAGATACTGATCATTCTAAATGAACCAGATTTACTGGTGCTATTCATATTATATGTTCTACAACTTTTTTATCGTTTGACTAGAAAGTGTCATTTAAATGAAGGCCCAGTATTTTTAACAGCTCTTAAATTTTGACTATACACTATGAAAGAGTTCTGGATATAGCATCTTCATAAGTGCTTTCTCATGGTGGGCTTCAACCAGTTTCCGCAGTGTACTTTTAGTCAAATACCGATCTCTCTCTCTGTACTTTCTTTTGTACATTTCTGGTGTTATACAATACATTGATAATGTATTTTCATCTATGTGGCTATTCTTCATAAAATTTTCCTTGAGCCCTAGAAAGAAGACCTGGAGTTTTCCACAGCCAATCTTCTCAAGATGTAACAAAAATTTCATGATGGTTGAAGACGTGGGACTCCGCGCTCCAAGTTTTCTCATAAATGCACGAGGATTGATGAATGGACCAGGATGCAACAGCAAATTCCTCTGGAGGACATGCTCAGCAGAAAGCACAGAACTTGACAATACATTCTTGACTATAGGATACTGGAATTTTTGAAGGAAGAAAATCTCGTATAATATGCTTATTGATATATTTGACAAAATCCCTTAAAAACCCAACAAACAATTCCAAACACAGAGTTCTAAAAAATCAAAATCACTGCGTTAGAGTCAAAATGTTAGGGACCATTCCCACAGATATTTGGATCGATCTATCTCCTTGGGGAGTCTCCCTAAATTGCTATCAACTTAACCGGCTAAAATGTCTGCACTGCCTAGCCAAGTTGTTTGGGGGTAATTATCTTTACTCCCAAGCTGATTCTGTAGGTGTGACAGACAATTAAGCTGGTTAAGTAGATAGCAATTTAGTGAGACTCCCCAGGGAGTTAGAACGATCCAGATGGATTGATCTAGGCATGGGAACCCACTCATAGTGAAGAGGGGCAAGATTGTTAAATGATAAAAGTTTGATCTATAGCAAAAGAAATTGACCAAAATTTGACATTAAATGCCTTACTCACTTCATCAGGTGAGTAAAGCAAAAAATAGATATAAAGGCCTAAATTTTCCTGAATGTGGCGTGCGATGTCTAACATTAATTTGGAGCCATTATGTGTTTTATTCAATCATTGTTTTCAAAT